AACTGTGTTTTGAACATAAAATACATGGAATTACACATACTATTTTTGACATTAATTTATGAATATTAATTTGTTCATTAATTATGAATGTTAGAAAGGCTGCGCTAAACCTTGTTCATTTGTGTTACCTTGTTTACATTTTAATTGTTTAGGTTTTATACATTTTTTTGTTGTTGTTGATGTTTCAGCAAAAGAAAAGGAAATGCTGCACTAATTGTTACCTCAATTGTTTACATTTTTTAATTTAGGTTTTAATAAATATTTATGCATAAAATAAATGTTCATTTAGTTTCACCAATTTTCTGCATGTCTCTAATTTACTGTAATTACATGTATTATGTCGGCCAGATTGATTTCTCAATATCGGCATCGGCCATTAGAAATCCCATATCAGTCAACCACTAGTCAAAAGTACCAATATCGGTACCCGTCAGTACTGAAATTTAAAAAATGTGACGATGCCAGCATTTCCCGCTAGTATTTTGAACACTGTTGTGTGGATTCTCAAACACCTCTGATTGGTCATTGTGTTCTTATACTCAACAGATATGTCTGTGATTGGCTACAATGATCATCGCTTCACAATCTTCACAGAGCGCTTCCACTGAAAACTGAAAGCCACGTCTATCAGCGGATCTCTAATATATCTGCTCATAGACAGATCCGCTGTTAGACGTGGCTTTCAAATGCTCCCGTGTGTATCCGTGTAATATCTCTAATAATGTTATTCTCTCTATGCTATTTTTCAATGTTTCAAGTGATGCAGGTGTTTTTTCATTATAGGTAAACAAAAAAAATCTGTGTAATAACTATGAATATACAATACATTACCCCATAAATGTCAACCTTATATTTGAACGTTCGTTCGTCTTGGCTCAAAGCCACTTGCTGCAAACTTTTCTTCGCGGAAGCTTTGCGTTAAACAAGTGAGATAACGAAATATTGAATCTCTAATCAATATTTTTTTTGTCCAATTATTTGCCCAGTTAGTTTTGGTATTGAGGTAAAAGTTACCTTGCATTCGCTATATAGCTGAACAGTGGGTGGTGGTCACAAAGATGATGGAGCAAATTTGACACGTTTCCCCCTTTTGCAGCTACTTTCTTCTTGCAAGATCGGCAGACAGGGTTAGCGTCCTCGATTAAATTGCCTTCAGGACTCTTGTAAAAGCCAAAATACAACCAGACCACCGATTTGGTCCTCTTAGATGGCTGAAAAATCTCCCGAGCGCTGTCACTGTTTTCCGCCATTTCATCTCGTGCAAAAAAAACACAACAACACTGCATGCTGCTTCTGCGTCAGACTGATGCTTGCTGGACAGGATTTACCGCGAGTTTTAAAAATCGCAATAATCAAACACGGTTTTGATGATAATTAAATTTTAAACGATAATTCTAACCGTCAGGGCATTTTATCGTGATTTATCGTGAAACCGGTAATCGTTACATCCTTAGTTCTAGCAGACTAATCACAGCGCTTGCGGTCCGCGTAGAATTAACGCGCTGTTCGATTTTTGGAGAGGTGCATGTCGGGCTATGGCGTAAGCTACGGTGTAGGGTGTGCGTCTATATGTAGGCTATGGCGTAGGTTCGATGCAGAAGTATAAATTGGGCTTAACAGTTCCCCTTTCTGGATGTCTTAAACGTCATAAAATTCATTTGACTCTGGTGTTTTTTCCCATGAGAACCTGTTCAGAATAAGAACTCATTCTTATTCCAACCCTTACTTTGAATGATTATATATGATGTATAAATATTCAGTAGGAAGAGTAGTATAGTCTGAGTAATTGTGGATGTAGCTACACAATGGAAAAAAGGTGTACTGGTTGTAGTTTGTCAAGTTGTACAGCAGTGGAAAAGCCTTGATGGGATAATTCACTCAAAAATAAAAGAATGTTTGAACTGTCCATACAATGAAAGTCAGTGGGGTCCAAAACAACAATGGTTAACTTTCATTGTATGGACAAAATATATGTCCTCTTTTATAGTCAACAGAAGAAGGAAAGTCATACAGGTTTGCAACAACAAGAGGGTGAACAAATAATTCAGTCTTTATTTGGGGGGGTAACTAACAGTCCAATACTGCTTGATTCAAGGTAAGAGGCTAAATATCTTATGAATGGAATGGAAAGGGCCTTTGATGATTGTTTGGGTTTACTACTGGATTGAGTTGTGTGTACATTTACAAAGCCTTTGCCATCTTAGTTGTGTTTGATAGTACTACACAAATAATTTATCTGATGCTGTGATAGAAGTAAATGAGAAGTGATAAGATGATTTCTTCATGCACCTCAAAGTACACATTTTTGTGCCTCCTTCAGATTAGCTACAGTATTGTGAGACCAAACCAGGCCAGCAGATATTTGCATGCCAAGGAACCTGAAGCAGCCGACACTTTTCTCTGTATAGTGCCATTGATATTGATTGAGGAGTTACACTCTCTGGGTTTGCTGAAGTCCACAAAGAGTCTTTTTGTCACGTTGACATTCACAGTCAGATTATTGTCATGAAACCGCCAAGTTAGGAGCTCCTATTCAATCCAACATATAGTCTTGTTATTACTGCAGATCATCCCAATTACTGTAATATCACGAGGAACTTAACAGGAAGTATAGCCTTGGACTGAGACATCAGCCTGGTAAAATTACACTTCTGTCATCATTTACTCCCCTTTCTCACGTACTTAACTGGAAATCTGCTTTAGCTCTTTCAATTAATTGGTTGATCAGGTTCACAAAACTATGATTTGTTAATGTTTCCATGATTTAGTTCATTTGTGCATGAATTTCTACTCTCTGTCCATTCTTGTTGCACCTAACTAAAGTTAACCTCTCATTAGAGAGGAGGATAATCAGTGAATAACAGCAAAAGGTTTGGTCTAATCTAGGGGTATGCACAAATAGTCGAATATTCGATCTGTAATTATTATTCGAAAAATAAAAACACTTCAAATTTTACTCTGTGTTGCTTTGCTGGCTGTAAATGCATGGAATCCATGATCAGTCCTAAGCATGCAAACTAAAAGTCAGTCATAACTAAATGCACTGGGTTGCGCTGTGGAGCGTGTTAACACATTGATTGTATTTGATCACAGAATGTCGTCGTCTGCCTCGCGATGTTTGAAATTACTTTGATCAAAATTATCTCACTAAATGATCTTACAAAATGGAATTAATTTTGATCAAATAAATCAGTGTAACTGATTTATCATAATACCACAACCACCACAATGAGAAATCACATGAAATCCAAACAGCAGTCGACTGAGGAAAGACAGCTGTCCATCACTGCATTCATGACTGCAGGTAATCGCAGCTGTACTCCGAGTGAGCCGAGAAGAGAGCTTATCTGATAGCGAAATGATCTCGAGACATATGCTTCCTTTAAGTTTCCTGGAGGGAGAGTGCTTTAGGAACAGAAAACACAAAGCGATAAAAAGAAACTTTGCTTAGCACACTGTTATCTTTGTGTCTGGAACGTCTTTGCGGCACGTGTTCTTATTGTTATCAGACTGAGGAGCCCACTTTCATGTGGATATTATTGTTTTTCTCAACATTAAAATTATGTGAGTGAGACAATATGAACATGATAAACATAGGCCGACTCGACTGTGTGTATGTTCTGTACTGTAATTGGAATGGTCTGCTTTATTTTTTTCGTTTGCTCTGCTTGAATGCTTTTGTTCGTTGTATACATATTTTTTTGTTTACAAACGTTTTCAAGTAAAAGAAAACCTTGAGATATAATGTACCGTTGTTGTAGAACATTGTTGCTTATAATGTCTAATCATAAGCTTGTTCAGAAATGGTGACAAAAACTTGATTATTAAAAAATTATATCTTTCTTGTTAAACCTCCTTTAAATAAATGAATATTCGAATATTCTTTTTTTTATGAGCCCAAATATTCAAATACAATATTTTTGAAAATGCCCATCCCTAGTCTATTCATCACAAAAATATATCATATGGCTTCTGAAGACATTGCTTATTATTTTTAATAAGTTCTGTCACCACTTTTATGATGCTTTAATTTTGCTTTTGCTTCCATTTCGTGAAGCTTGAATCCTCCAGTTGCCTTTCATTGTAACCACATTATACAGAAAATCTAAAAACAAAAGTATATAAAAACAAAAGTAGGTTAGAGCTTTGGAATGACATGAGGGTAATTGATGACAGAATTTCTGGTTTTGGGTGAGCTATTTCTTTAACCTTTATGCTGTGGTGAAAAACCTTTACCTAATTTAGTGTTTCCATTAAAAAAACAAAAAAGAAGGAAAGATCAGCCTTTTAAATTTAAAAAAAAAAAAAGTTGTCACCAAATCTTGAATTGAATTGGGTCATAACAATCATAAGGGTTAAGTGATATGCAGCCAATAAACCATATGTAGAAAGGGTGATGTTTAATATTAGTTGGAAATTATATGACCATCCTCCATATCTCTGCACCAACATTTAATAATCATGAAACTACACCACCTCCTTGCTGGCCAATTTCAGTCCTTTGTGGTGGACGATTGAGTGCAGTTAAGAATGGTAGTGTTTATTTATTTATCTAAAATCATAATTTTAAAGGTGACATATCATGAAAATCTGACTTTTCCAGGTTTTAAGTGCTATAATCAGGTCCCCGGTGCATCTACCAACCAAGGAAACGTGAAAAAGATTAACCCAGTAACTTTGTTTTGGTAAGCCTTTTTCTGCAAGCATCTGAGAAAACCAGCGCGTCTGATTTCACTCCCTTGGTGACGTGGCAACGGGATCTCATTATAATATTACCGCCCCTAAATCTGTAAGTTTACACCCACGGCGCCGTTATTGTGTTTTTGCAAGCAACAACGGTGTATTAGTTCTAATGCCATGGCGAAAGTTTGAGCAAAACATGCTAACTGTTCTGTCTTTGGCTGCACTGACGAGTCCCAGCCTCAGAGGAGAAAAGAGAGCAGTGGATTTATTGATTTATTTACTGTAAATTGCTGCTGCCACACAGATCTAAAATAAACATGCAATTTATTTCCCAGCTGTTTACTGTTGTCTTCAGAACTTTCGTCAACACATTCATCCAGTTCAAGAAGCCCATCATTGCTGCAGTGAATGGGCCTGCTATTGGGCTTGGAGCTTCTATCTTGCCCCTGTGTGATGTCATCTGGGCCAATGAGAAGGCTTGGTTCCAGACTCCTTACACAATCTTTGGCCAAACCCCAGACGCCTGCTCCTCTGTAACATTCCCTCTCATCATGGGAGTCGCCTCTGTGAGTACATCAATAGTGTGCCTCTGCATGAATGACTTTTTTTTTAGTTTCTTACACTTTAATATTCTTAATAATAACTCTTAACTCTAACTTCTTAATTAATTACTTATTTACTTCCAGGACATTTGTGGGTTTGTATTAGTGCTGTCAATCGATTTAAAAAAAGATTTATCTAATTAATCGCACATTTTTTTCTGAAATTAATCGTGATTAATCCCACCTAACGTTAAAGTTTTTAAATGTACTTTTATATTGCAGTAATTTCACATTCAATTTTCAAATTATTGTAGAAACCATTTTAATATTTGTTTAATGGCATATTTTTTATGATTTAAGGAGAGTATCACTGATACCAATACTACTGATCTCTATGACATTTTTTCCCCCTAATATTTAACCATTGACTAAAGGCATTCAACAATACAGTTTAATTGAGAGCTATCAATTTTAACATTTATTAGACTTAAAAAAATAACTTCTAATTTAAGTGAACTTAAAACAATCTTCACATAAACCCATTACAATAAATGTCATATTTACCTGTGCCCTTCAGCAAGAAGGAAATGTACAGAAATTGAATAAAGTTATCAAACACTAAATTTAAAATATAGATGAATTCTTAAAGCTACAAAAGTGATTGATTTCCTCTTTTTTAATTTGTTCTTTGATTAACAGACATCACAGCAGCTGGGTTATTTTGGTTGCTTTAAGAGCTGCCGCTGCTGATCTGACACGCATGGTATTTTTTCACAACTCTAACTTTTCTGCCTCACTTCAGGTCTTAAAGTCTCTAATGAGCTGATGAGTTGAATCGGGTGTGTTAGATGAGGGAGTTTTGAAAACCACTGCATTTCAGAGATATGTTCTTTAATGTGTATGCTCCATTTTAAGGCAGGTTTAATTGTCTTTTTGGTAACTTCATGACTTACCTGATGACATAACTACAACATTGCATGCTCGTAGTTTCATTTGTGCAGGCTACAGCACGCACCGCCTCATTTGAGCGAGCAATTGAAGAGCACATGCTAAGAGCACAGTATAACAGCTGACAGGACAGGAAAATTAATTTTTACTGACATGGCCTGACAACATCTCATCTGACCGCAGTTCACTGTTGTTCTACTGAAGCTCCTCGTCACCAGTACCTTTTCTGCACTCGTTTGACTCGCACCTGGCGCTGAGGTGAACTTTGAGTGCACGTCTGAAAATATCCCGTTTGATGTGGTCGTAAAGACGTTCTGCGTCTAAATGCGTTAATTGCGTTAAATATTTTTAAAGCGTTAAACTGAAAAAAAATTATCTCCTGCGTTAACTCTGATTTTGACAGCACTAGTTTGCATGTATACTGTATATACAGTGGGGAAAAAAAGTATTTAGTCAGCCACCAATTGTGCAAGTTCTCCCACTTAAAAAGATGAGAGAGGCCTGTAATTTTCATCATAGGTATACCTCAACTATGAGAGACAAAATGAGAAAAAAAAATCCAGAAAATCACATTGTAGGATTTTTAAAGAATTTATTTGCAAATTAGGGTGGAAAATAAGTATTTGGTCAATAACAAAATTTCATCTCAATACTTTGTTATATACACTTTGTTGGCAATGACAGAGGTCAAACATTTTCTGTAAGTCTTCACAAGGTTTTCACACACGGTTGCTGGTATTTTGGCCCATTCCTCAAGAGCAGTAATGTTTTGGGGCTGTCGCTGGGCAACACGGATTTTCATATATATATATATATATATAAAGAAATTTTAAAAATTTATTTAGCAATGATGCGTAAAATTGATAAGTGTAACAGTAAATACATTTTTAATGTTAACAAAAGATACATTTATACTGTTAAAAAACTTTCTGACAAAAGTAGCTCTTGATGTTAAAGGTAAGAAACTTGTAAGGTAAAATCTGAGGCGTATGTATAAACTGCTACGCAGAGAGACTGTTAGAACAAACATCTAATCAAGCAGGTAATGAAAACATTGAGGCATTTGTCCGACACCAAGATGCACTTTATTTTATTTAAACCTCCTTTTTTAAATTTAATCCCTTTAATTTAATTTAAATTTAAATTTAATCCCTAATTGAGATTTAAATCTGAGTTTAAAGTTATGAAGCATCAGGATTAAAGTTAATCTATCTTAAATTAAATAAAAACTGAAGTGACGTGTGGCGACCTATACTCGGAATGTGTGCTCTGCATTTAACCCATCCAAGTGCACACACACACAGCAGTGAACACACACCCGGAGCAGTGGGCAGCCATATTTCTGCTTTGCCCGGGGAGCAGTTGGGGGTTCAGTGCCGTGCTTAAGGGTCTCACCTCAGTCATGGTATTGAGGGTGGAAGAGAGAGCTGGTCATTCACTCCCCCCAACTACAATCCCTGCCGGCCCTAAGACTTGAACCCGTGACCTTTGGGTTACAAGTCCAACTCTCTAACCATTAGGCCACGACTTCCCCCGTAAATCCAGCAATGATTATTTTTAACCTGCTTATTTTAGGTTTAAAGTTTGCAACAGAATTATTAGATAAACCTTGATTTAATCTAGATTTAAGCTTAATCCTTACTGGTGCAACCCACTCAATATTTCACAATATTACAGTTTTTACTGTATTTTTGAGAAAATAAATGCAGCCTTGATGAGCATAAGGGATTTCTGTCAATAAATTTAAAAAATCTTAATTATTCTAAATGTTTGATGGGTATCTATTCATGTATGCATATTAAATATATATTAAAACATGCATATATATATATATATATATATATATATATATATATATATATGTGTATA